CATTGCTAGATTAGCCAGCCTATCTTAGTTGCATTTTCATGTGTTGCATTAGCCATCTTAACAGAACTAGGATCATGCATGTTATACTAACTGGTTTCTGTTTTGGCTGGAACTAGTAAGCATTTATGCTTTAGCATACCGGCATGTGTGTTGAGTGTTGCCAATGCATAGCATGATTACCATGTGGCTAGATGCTTATGTGATAACTGTTGGATGCCTGTGAAGTTGATTGTCTATGAGTTGGAAAAACTCGTTGAAAAATCCGTATTTCAGCCTACTTGTGGGTAGCACCATCAAACCATTTTCAAACAAACAAACATGAAATGTTTCGTTCCAATTCAGGTGACCCAGTCTATACTTGTTTGCTGTGCGCATAGCAGAGTAAATCTAGGCTAATAACCGGAATAGGAACACGTAATGTTTTCAAAACAAGATATCATGATTAGTAGAGGCCAATCATTGGATCTGGCGAGAGGGGGTGCTCATAGCTGACCTTCTCCAATCATACCCAAGTTGTCGAGCCGAGGCAACTTTGGTGATGACAGACACGTGGCCTTAGGCAAACGAGTGAGGGTTTTCCTAAATTCCCCCAAAATAAAATATTTAGGTGGCGACTCTGTATCTGGCAAAGCAGTCCATGTTTGGCACTTCTTTTCCAAAATCTGTTTCTCAAAACGATTTGCAGGATTTGGACTCTTTGGTTCAGATTAAGAACCGTGACACAAATCGAGTCCGAACTGTAGCAAGGGCCCCTCGCGGGCGCGTGCTACAACATCCTTGCCTGGCAGATGGCCGGCAGCAAGCTCTCATGGCTGACAGGCCACTGGTGAATTCCTCAGCATGGAGTTGGTAAGATAGAGCAGAAAGTTCTTGGAGACACCCTGCAAACAGAGCCTCTCAAGAGCAAACCGCTGGGCTTTTCAGGGCGAGAAACCGAATGCATGTATGTTCAACTTCCTAGAACAGAACTGAAGTAGTGTAATTTAATTCTTTACTTGTTAGTTAGCATGAATTTGTAATTTAATTAATTTGTTAATTAGTTAAATGTTGTAATAATTAGTAATTAGTTTACTAGTTATTTGATTTGTTTGTAATAATTAGTCTAATTAGTTTAATTAGATTAGTTGTTTAGCTTAGCTTAGATTAGCTTAACTTGTTCATTCGGGCCCTCCTTCGCGAGGGCACAATGTTGTAATAAGCGTGCGTGTGTGTGTGCATGTCTTCCAACCCCACTCATTTTTCCCTTTTACTTAACCACTTACGATGGTTAGTTTTGGGGCACGGTTTGATTAGCATACCTTATGCTTGCATGCGTGCTTCATTCATTTGTCTTACATGCACCGGGCTCGACGCATCATTCAAACTGCATTGTATTTCAATACCTACTTGAATACGTGTGTCAATTGTTGCATTCATATGCCATCTTAGATAGCCGAGCCTGTTTAGTTGCATTTTGCATATGTTGCATTAGGCATTCTGTATAGTTAGGATCATGCATTGTTTCTAATTAGTTTTCGGTTTTGGCTCGGAGTATACTGTAAGTGTTTTCTCTTTAGCATACTTGCATAAATGTAAGTGTTGCCATGTTTAGCATGCTTTCCATAAGGCTATTTGCTTAAATGCTTAACTGCATGAATGCCTATGGGTGGAGGCTTGATTGCCTGAATTGGAACAATTCGATGATTGTGAGTTTTAAGCCCTCTTTGCGAAGTGGCAAATCATCATGTTTTAAAGCCCACTTGAGGGTGGCAAATTCGCGCTTTAGCCCACTTGCGAGTGGCACTTTCAAACCATTTTCGAAAATAAACATGAGTTGTTTTGTTCCAATTCTCGTGATTGAGTCTATACTTGTATGTTGTGCGCATCACATAGTAAAGTTAGCTAATAATCGGATAAGAACACATGCGTTTATAAAACAACATATCATGTTTAGTAGAGGCTGATCTTTGATCGGGCGAGCAGGGGTGCTCATTTCAGGACCATTCCCTCTCGTACCCAAGTTCCCGAGCCGAGGCAACTTTGGTGATGACGGACAAGTGGTCTTTGGCACGAGTTAGGGTTTTCTAAATTTTCCAAAAACAAAATATTTAGGTGGCGACTCTATAATCTGGCAAAGCAGTCCATGTTTGGCGCTTTTTATTCAAAATTGATTTTTCAAAACGATTTGCCGGATTTGGACTCTTTGGTGTTTATCAGTCTCACATTGCACTTTATGAGATTAGATTCAGAACCGCGATAGGAGTCCGAACTATAGTAAGACCAATTTGTGCCCTCTCCAAAAGGGGGGGCGCGCAAAGAAAGTCGGGTCTACAGTTTCTGGCGACTCTGCTGGGGATTTAGAGAACTTGACTCGAAACTCATGATATGTTGTTTTATCTACATTTATGTGTTTTAAGCCCACTTGAGAGTGGTAACTTCAAACCATTTTCAAAAACAAACATGAGTTGAATTTGTTCCAAGTCTTGCGACTATTCTATACTTGTTTGTGTGCGTCACATAGTAATGTTAGCCAATAACCGGAATAAGAGCACATAATATTTATAAAACAACATATCATGATCAGTAGAGGCCGATCTTTTGATCGGGCGAGCAGGGGTACTCATTTCAGGACCTTTCCCTCTCGTACCCAAGTTTCCGAGCCGAGGCAACTTTAGTGATGACGAACACGTGGCCTTTGGCACGAGTCAGGGTTTCCTAAATTTTTTCAAAATAAAATATTTAGGTGGCGACTCTGTATCTGGAAAAGCAGTCCAATTTTGGCATTATTTGATTTAAAATCGATTTTTCAAAAAGATTTGCCGGATTGGACTCTTTGGTGATTATCAATTTCACATTGTACTTGTGAGACTAGATTCAGAACCGCGGGAATCCAAACTGTGAGGCCTTCTTTTCAAATCCTTTCAGAAAGGCGAGGGCGCAGAAAAATGCGAGTCCACACCTTGGTTATACAAGCAGGACCATAGAAGCCTCCTTAGGCTTGGCACGAGGCACAGCCCTTGTTGTGGCCCCATCCTAGGAAGTTGGGAAGTTTGTGGTTAGGCAGCTAAGGGTCGGGGTGTAGCTGAGGTAAACACAAACATGACTGATAGTAAGCTATGAAATCTTGAGATTGCATGTCTTAGCCAAACCAAACTGAAAAGGTAGGTGCAGTAGCAAGTAGCACCGCTGCAAGTGCACTTGTTGATGTTCAAAATGGAAGTTGCTGAGGTATGTGCCAAACAAATAGTACAGTGGCACTTGTTGAGGTGTTCGTGCCAAGCAGATAGTACATAGTACATACAGAGGGACACGTGGCTACCTTAGTCTGGTGGTTCAAGATAGAATATTCTATGTGATCCTCAGGGACACGTGTGTAGACACCCCATTTTTGACCGACCTTAAGACTCAGACGTCACCAATTGAGCGCTTGGTGATGTTGCATCCCCCGCGGGCTTGTTACAACGTGTCATCACCTTATTTGGCCACTTGGTATTCTTTAGTACCAAGGAAAAGCCAAGGTTTGACAGGGAACTTCTTGGGATTTAGGGGATATGCTCCCTATTTGTACACTGTCATTTCTTTATTCTTGAACCACTTAATCCACCCTCACCCGGCTGTTCATTCTCCAGTTAACCCAGATTTGTTGGCTCATTAATATAGGTTTGCCTCTCCGATTACTCTCATAATCACCATTCACTCAGACCCCCTTCAATATTCAAGTCAACAATAAAAAATCAGGAGAATGTTTCCAAGTTCTTATTTTTATTTATTTTTATTTTTTTTATAGAGAAACTATGTTTTCTTTTATCTTCTACGTTTTTGGTTGTGGGATTTACAAAATTTTTGACACTGAGTATCCGCACATATTTCATTTTTTTAGTATTGAGTATCTGGATAGAGATGTTGGAACCAATTTATGACGTTCAAAACTAAGTATCCGCATATATTTCATTTGTTCAAAATTGAGTATCCAAAACCATTTGTTAGCTTCGGAACTAAGTATTCACATTTCATGTGTTCGGCATTGAGTATTCGGATGAAGCTGGAACCAATTTATGACATTGGGTACTGAGTAAAAGTGGTTGAGAAATAAGGATTTGTGGGATACCTCAAAATAACAACAGGTTTCGACAGAGGTAGGTTCCGATAGGTGGGCTCTGATGAGTGGGTTCCGACAGGTTGGCTCCGATGATAACTGAAAGGTTGCTCGAAGTATCACTCTAAGGACCTATTTGATTTTTGGGGTGAATTAAGTATCTCTCTAGGATTCTTGAGTATATTAAGGTATTATTTATTTGGGATGTCCAAAATAATGCAACAAATTTTAAATTTTATAATGGGTTTTACAATGTATTAAGGTGTCTAACTGATCTTTCATGGTGCAAATAGAGCCACCCTTTTTCTACACATCTTTGAGTAATGTTATACCTACAGAAGAAAAAATTCATACATAATTTCTAAAACAAAACACCATTGAAAATACATTTATTTACAAAAATAATATTATCATATCATTCTTATGAAATTTTTTATATAAATTATATGTATGAATAAAAAAATAAAAAAATAAAAACTATGTGTACAACTCATTTGTATGCCAGGATCAAAGCAGTAAAACGATCTTTCATTTACCAATTCGATTCTTTACCCCTGGCAATACAATATTTTTTTCTTCAATTGTGAGAAACCCTCGCAAAATCTTTCTATTCTTTGCGAACTCTGAAGGAGATTTAGGCTGTGTTGATATTATGAATTTTGATAGGAATTTGAAAAGAGAAAAATAAAAGATAAGTGAAATGTAATAATATTTGATTCTTTCACCTATTTTTATCTCTTTTCAAATTCTACCAAAATCCATGATTAAAAGTTCAAACCCAGCCTTAATGAGTTTCACAGACAATAAGATGAGAACTCACAGCACGTCAAGGAAATTATGTATGATAGATAATGCAATCTAATCTAATCAATTTCTAAGACAAGGGAATTGAAATCACATCCATATTGAAAAACAGAAAAAGTATTTAAGGTCACAAACATACTCAAACTCAAACTCATGCACACAGATTTTAGTTGAAAGAATAAAAACTCCATACAAAGTATAAAAACTCGACATACAGAATTTCTCACAAACACAGGTGTCCACTCCCCCATCTCAGTAGAAAGTCATACCGCTTTAGACAGGCCAGATCCTCTGCAAGGTTAATATCGGTGTATGTGCGTGTGTGTTAAAACGTATAATATAAATATAAAAATGACACTCTCAGCAACCAACATATCCTCTCTTCTCCTTCACAACCGAACTTCTTTACCAGCAAGACTTCTTTTTCTGCTAAACATGCATTGAGAAGTAGAGCACATATCAGCCATAAGCCTCATCAAAAAGGATAACAAATTTTAATCATGCAGAAATTTTGTTTTTCTTGTTATTTATCAAGAAGATGATTACTTACCCGAAACTTAGCTTCTTCTTGACTGTCAATGTAAGCAAGCAGTTCCTCCTGCCTCATTAAAGCCTCATGCAAAGCCTGCTTGGGAAGAGTGCATGCTTGTTAGAATCTTATGATTCACAGTAAGATTCATACCATTCGATTAGAGTTTCAAGCAAAACAATTCAATTCAATTTGTGCAGTTGAATCTTAAATTGAGTGAATCTGACGACTCAATTGCATTTCAAGCGATTCAGTTCTATTTGCATAATGCATGAAACATTGTTGTTTTACATGTTCATGGTTTAGGGTTTAGGGTTTAGTGTTTTCAGAGATATTATTGCATGTACGTATATAAAGAGCAATCATTATAAAATGAACTTTTCGGTAAAGTTATCCATAAACCTCCCGTGTGCTACAATTAGTAGTTCAAAGCATCAGTAAGGACATGTTATTCGTCATTCTTTCTTATTTGATTTTTTTTTTTTTTTTTTAATTTTTTATAACAAATTTAACTTACAACAGAATTATGGCTGTAGTTGCAGCCTTGCATTGGTTTACATGGCACATAATGTGGAACTGATATTGAAGTATATTCATGGCACAATGTAAAAATGAATCAAGAAGGTAAAATTATTTTGACTTAAGGGGCTCCCTTTACTTGGCAGACCAAAATATATGTATGTAATCCAAACTGGTGATAAATTCAGTCTCATTAGAATAGATTTTCACAATGATTGTGATTAAACATCATAAGAGCTTTATCATGTAGGGGTTCCACATCATAACGCTACTTGGTCAGAGTACTCAGGCAACATGATTATATATATGTATGTGTATTGTATATATTTTTTAAATCTATAAATGACAGCAGCAAACATAATAAAATTATAAACTAAAGTATCTATACCTTTTTAGTAGCAATTAACTCTGCTTCTAGGGCATCCACACGGCAAACAGCGGCATTCAGCAGTTCCTCTTTCTCACAAGGCATCTCAGACGGCTTTGCTTGAAGTGTGTCAACCTTCTCTTCAAGCTCCCCCAGTCTTTTCAGAACAGAAGAGAGGAGTTCTGCCTCTGAAAATGATAGAGCTGGTGAAGGGGGCCGGAACTCCTCCTTGGGTAAAGAGTCCGGAGATAGTTCATGGTTTTTTTGGTTGTGATCAGAAGAAGTGTCAGGAAGTTTTTTGGTTACACGGCTTGCTACTGAAGCATGGCAGAGCGTGAAAAGGGTCATGAAGAAGGCCATAAACACTGCCAAGATCCGAGCCTGAAATCCTTCAGGTGTCTTTTGAGTATCAGGTAGTGGAAGTGTCCCTGCATTGGATGTTTGGAAATCAAATTCTTGGTATGCCATCACTTTCGAGAAACAACAGCAACTAACAAAAATTTTCAAAGTTAATGACTACGGTCCTCTTCTAGGCTTTTCTTGCTGCTACTTTGCACATCCATTATGTAGTACTGTATCATCAACTAGTTTAAAGCAAGAGCAAGAGGCTCCACTCATTGATTTTGTGCCACACCATTGGAATATCCAAACAATACATACTGAACAAGTTAGTTTGTAATTATCTCAAACTAAAGAGGTCTCTAAGTGACTTAACAAACATGGGGAAACACATATATGCCATATTAAGTAAATTCAGTCAGAATCAGATTAAAAATAATCCAATTGCAAGATATCAAAGTCAATAGGAAGAAGAGAATAAATGAACTCAAACCATGAGTGGTTTCATATATGTTTGTGTAAAAAATTGAAGAAAAAGATATCAGCATTCGGTAAGCTAGACTTGCTAACCTTTGGAGGCACAAGGCTTTTGATCAGATGCTTGCGTCTCCGAACCAGAGTCAACAGCCTTGTCAACCATGGGAACATATTCATCATACCCTGGCAAGCCACCAGCATAGCTTGCCTTTCCATTAACCTTAGCCTGTTTATTCATGGAAGCATATTAGTAGAGCATAAATAGCCGCCACAAAATTTAGAAACTTTGAAATAAAGTGACAATCATTGTGAACTGAAAGTCGAGAACCTACTTCTTCACGAACAGGAGTTAACCGAAGATGTGAATAACTTCTCACTGCTTTTGGCGAAGCAATATCTTCAGCTTCAGATCCAGACTCAGCAGTGGATGTATCACTGCCTTTTATCTGCTCAACAGAACAACAAAAATAAACAACATAACAATCTAAATGTAAAGCAGACATAACAAAACCTGGCTGTGTCCGAGCAACTTGAAAGCAGTCCAAGAGGTCATACCATATAGTAATTTGGCTTAGCATAAACCACCTTCCCCTCGCTGTTTAGAATTTTAACAACTTGTCTAGGACGCCGTGCTTCACCACTAACAACCATCTGCAACATAATGTCCACACAAGCTATTGTTTGTCAGTTGAAGTGAAAGCAGCTGCAATTCGTGAATGAAAAGCCTATTGTAATACAGATTTTATGTCCCAAGGCATGAACCTTCAAGATTTCTGGGTTTTTCCATGGCCCTTTATCAGAACGGAGGCAACCCCCTTGATCAGCACAGGTACAGGTACCCCCAAGGAAATCTGGCAACTCACTGCAAGTCACAATTTTCAAAAAGTTGAAAAATACCAAACAGCAAAAAGGAGTTCTGATGATAAGGTTATCTCAGAGTAAAAGCAGCGTGTCAACTAAATATAATAAGCCACTACCTGACATCAATAATCTCAAGCAACTTGTTCTGGAACTTGTATCCAAGAACCTAAGCAGAGATTTCAAACAGAAAGATAATGATACCAGACATGTCAACAGCCATAAGGTAATACAGAAACTGTCCAAAGAATGAAAGAAAACAATATTCACATACATGAATCTTGGAAGTTGTTTTGGGATCTAGAAAAGTCTTCACAGTATTCCACAGCAGCCTAAAACCAGGACCAGCATTGATAATAAACATTTGGTGGAGAGTCTGCAGCAATGAAGAGGACACAAAATCCAATATTTCAACTTGTCAACACTCAATTTAAACATTTGAGCACAAGATAATTTGTAAGCACAAGAAGTATGATTACTTCAGGGTAATTGTCACAATCAATCTTCTGAAGTCGCATTATAAGTTCACGTGCTCCCTTGGTTAAGTTTTTCAAACCCTGTACAATCAACAGTAAGGCCTCGTTTGTCAACTATACATTTTAGTCAAAAAGTCACTATAAGTTGTCACATCACTCTATTTTTTTCACTTCTTTTCGTAAAAAGTCAAAAAGTTACTAAAATAACTTGTTCCCAAACGAGGCCCAAGATATAATAAAAGAAGGATCAGCAAAGATATTAAGATAGTAATTAACCATATACTCTCCACAATTACAGCATGTAGCAATTGAGAAAATACACAGGAGGCCACATACCACGCCTTGAACATCTAAGATTGTTGTGCTTGAATCTATGTGCCTTTTTGCAGCAACAGTACAAGCTGGAAACTTAAATGCGAAGCTTTTCTCAAACTCCTTGACATGGTATTTTATATACCGATCCATTGTGGTAACTTGCATAAGTTTATTTGGATCAACTTTTCCCAATCTTTCAATGTAGACAGGTCGCCCCTCCTTATCCACACCATGATTACCATGTGGGTAGTACTTCAAAACTTCATTCAACTCTTCAAATTCAAAATCCTGGCCAAGACATCAACAAAATAAAGCACATATTAACTCGAATCCAGGATACCAAAACAATGTGGGGAGCCCATTGTGGCCAAATTTCCAATGTAATTACCTCCATAATGGTGTCAACACCAAATTCCTTCCTCCACTGAATCATATCAGCCCACATGTGCTTTGCCTTTTCAATATCGAACTTCCTTGCTTTTAAGAACCTGCCATTCTAATCCATTAATGAACGATTGTAAACACAAACACAACAATCTGATTTGAAAATGGAATCCTCCTGTGATAAACATATTTACAAGATACCATACAAGAGGATAAATTGGTGTAGAAAAGGAAACTGAAGAACATCAGCTCTGAAACAAACATAAAGTCGTAGAGTAAAAGAAGAAAGAAAAGCATGCTAGACAAAGAGAAAGTGAAATAAGAGCTTGGACTCTTTTTCATTTCTATATCTAAAGTATCCATCATTGACCACTTTAAATATAGTGGTACATGTAAAATTTTCTAACAAACGATACACACACACACACACACATAAATATTATTATTAACTGGAGCAGATTCTTACTAGAGCAAATTATACCACGTCCAAGGTCAATCTGTTACTAATGAATTCAATTTTGAAGCCTAAGAAGCACAAATGCAGACATGAGACACAAACCAACACAACAATTTCAAAAAATAAAAATAAAAATAACTCAGATTTGACCCTCATAACAAATCAAAAGCTAGTTCTTTTTTCTTTTTTTTTTTCAATTTAAACCCTAATCTTTTAGAATCGGTTCAATTTAAACCATCTGTCTGTCTCCATTTAAAACCATTAACAGAAGAAATTTTTTTGCAACACAAGGCATTATCTCATTGTCTTTTCCAATTTTATCTCGGGGAATTTAGTCAAAACCCCCTCATAACAAAATTTTCATGCAATAAGGACAATAAGAGAAATTTTTCCTTGAAAAGGCCAACACACACCACTATTACCAAAATATCCTCAATGACTAATTTCATATTTCTAGCTTTAAAATGATATAACTTTTGATCTATGTGTCAGCTTTTAATAAAATTCATATTTTTAGAATTCTCTCGTCAAGATCTATTAAACAAGATTTATGTTAGCCATGAAATTCTTTAAAAAAAAAAATAATTAAAATTTTTAACATCGAAATTAACATCAATAGTAAAATTTTATTCTATTTCAAAGTAAAATTTTACTCTGATTCATAATAAATTTTACTATGAAATTTATTATTTAAATAATGAAATACTATCATCATCACTAAACACCATAATCACTATAATTGTTACCGTCACAAGTAGAAATATTTGAATAAAAGATTTATTAAAACAATGAAATGATAATGTTAATAAAGTAAAATTTTACTGTTATTAAAACAGAGTCAGCAAACAAAATAAATTACATATTGCCATAGCAAACTAGAGTAAAATTTTAATATCACTGAAATAGAGCATATTAGCCAATAAAATACAAGCCACATAACTTCTTTTTTTTTTTTTTTTTTTTTTCAAAAAAATTTTATTGATAAAACAAAAAAAGAAACGAGAATCGTTCAAAAAAAAAAAAGGGAACGAGGACAAGGCATCCTCTTACAAAAAGAAAATGAAAGTAAGAAATACATAACCCAAACAAAGATTATCTCAAGCAAAAATCTGCATGTCACACACCAACAACCAATATCTAGCTAACAGAAATAGTGGAATTCCCTTAAAGAGAGAATTCACCAAAGCCCCAAAGGAAGTTAAGTGACAAACTTTATCCCACAACCAGTCCACTTCTCGAGATTTATCTTCAACAACCACGCATTTCTTTTCGACCATAGATCACAAAAAGTTGCAAAAATGGCACAAGACTATACAGCACTTTGGCCCTCTTCAAACCTCCCATAGCATGAAAGTCAATTAGTAGCAAATGCGCACTACCTTTTGGTGACACCCACATAACATTCCGCAAAAGAAACAGTATGTGCCATAGACTCAAAGCAATTGGACAGTGCAAAAATAAATGATCCAAGTATTCACCATCCTTACAACACATAATGCACTACTAAAGATTTAGAAAACAATTAGGTCTCCTTTTTTGTAATGTATCATTTGTCAAGATGCCTACATGAACCAAGGCCTGCATAAACACCTTCACCTTTAGAGAAACACAAGCTTTCCAAATTCTTTTGCAAAAAGGAAACTGAGGAACGTGAGAATTATCAATGATTTTATCAAAAAAGGACTTGCAAGAAAAGATACCTAATAAGTGAAGATCCTAAACCCTCTTATCCTCCAAAAGAGGAACCAAAGAAAGATGATAAAGTCTTGACAACAAAGAAATCAACTGTGTAGCCTCCCTATCATTAAGATTCCTAGAAAAAATTGAAATTCTAGGAAATTGGGCCCAAAAGTGAACAAATCATGGAAGCAATAGAAGAATTATGAAACCGATCCACTCTATATAAATGTCAAAAATCGGAAGCAAGGAAAAGTGGCCTATCCAAACATCCTCCCATAAGCAAACAAGCTCCCCATTACCCACCCTCACAGGTAGATAACGAGACCAAGATGTATAGATTTGAGAAATTGATTTTCAAGGAGCACAACAGTTACCCCTCATAACCACCTGTGAATCCCTACCATTATCTTGAGTCCCATACTTGATTCTAATAACAGAATGCCATAGTGAATAACTCTCAATTGGAAATCTCCATACATCAACAAAAAAACTTTATTGATGAGAGAAAACCTTACAAGAAAGGAAGAAAGACATCAATAAAGGGAGGTGGGGGGATGGTGCAGAGGCCATTATAGTGAAACAACCTAATCCCAACTAGGTTGGCACTAAGCAGCTCACACGATCATATGACAACACTAAACCAACTGTTGGTGAGGGACCAACAGCAAAGGGATAGAAAAACAGCCAAGTATCTGATACAAAGTCAGCAGCTCAGATACACTACACCACCATATATGCACAGATACAATAGGACTCACTTGAAACAGAGCTATTAGCATAGATACACTAAAGTAACACACTTAACGGCAGAACATGATCTGACTAAGGTTGTGGACAATATCATGCATTGGGTAAGAGAAGACTGGAAGGTTGGATTTGGCCCAAAGAGCAACTCTCCATTTGACAGTATAACTCGATTCCATGAGATTAGGTTGACATCCATTGAAGATGCAATCATTCCTAATTTTCCAAATAGACCAGAGCATAGCCAATGGTACTAAAATCCAGAGCTTCATAAGAATCTTTTTCCATTTAAAACCCATTCACTAGTGTAACAAAGCCACAACTAAAGCAGGTGTTGCCCATTTAGGGTCCCACCATAGTAGCAAATCAGCCCAGCTCTTCCAAATGCCACTGCACATCAGAAAAATGTGAGTCAAGGATTCAAGTTCAGCTTTAAAAAAAGGGCAGACATTACTTGAGTTGCTGCTATGTACTCCAATTCTTTGTAGAAAATCAATGGTTTTAACTCTACCCTTCCAAACCAACTAACTCATAAATTGAACTCCAAGAGGAGCCACATTATCCCATAATAATTTAGGAATCAAAAGCTTGGGCCCATGATGAACTTCCAACCAAGCTCTTACTGAAGCAACTGTGAACTGCCCAGATGAGGACCTCTGCCTCCTAAGAGAATCTGGGAGGATTGCTCTTAGACATGGTGCCTTAGTAAGCATGAGATAGAGTCTACAGACCTCAGCTTCCTCTCAAAGCCTTAAATGCCTCCTGAAACATAAGTTCCACCCCCCTAAAAATTTCTTTCTTTGCACAAAATAATCCAAAGATTTTTCCTTCTTAGTAGACAAAATGAATAGCCTAGGGAACTCATCTTTAAGTTTAGTATTCCTCAGCCATTTATCCAGCCAGAAGTGTACTCTTTTACCATCACCCACTATGATTTCTATACTAGATATGAAAAAATCAAGTAAATCTGGATTGATCTCGACCCTAGAAAGAATTCATTTCCACACATTAGACACCCTCCCAGTAGGCTCGAGATTAGGTAGCCAACCCCCTCCTACAACTCCATACTTGCTCTTGATAACCTGCTTCCATAGTGGCTTCTCCTCCACCCCATATCTCTACCACCATTTCATTAGTAGGCTGCTATTCATTTCCCTCAACTTCACAATACCTAACCCTCCTTGCTTCTTACTGGTTGTGACACATTTCCATTTAACAAGATGCACTCTCCTTTTTTATTCAGAGCTCCCCACAAAAAGGCTGCTTGCAGTCTATCAATAGTTTTCGCCACACATTCAAGCATTTTGAATAAAGATAGATAATAACATGGGAGATTGGACAGGATAGATTTTATAAGGGTTACTCTACCAGCAAAAGAGAGCAACTTTCTTTTCCATAGGGCCAATTTTCACTTAATTTTGTCCACCACAGGTTGCCAATACTTCTTTCTTTTAGTGTTAGCACCAGGTGGTAGCCCTAAATATTTCATAGGCAATTTTTGGCACTGACAGTTGAGTTTGGTTGCAAAAACCTAGGCAAGACCTCCATCAATTCCTATTTCACACAGCACACTCTTATGAAAATTTATTTTCAAGCCCAATATAATCTCAAAGCCTCTAAGGATTTTTTTAATAGTCACCAATTCTTCCTCCTCTACTTCATAGTAAAGCATCATCACAAATTGGAGAAGCTCTAATTGGCCCACTGAGGCACCCTTAATTAGCCCATATCATTTGCTCTTTCCAACAACAAACTAAGACCCTCAACTACAATGTTAAAGAGGAAGGGGGGAAAGAGGATCCCTTTGCCTTAGCCCTCTTTTTGGTGAGAATTCATCAGTTGGAAAGCCATTAACAAGAATAGAGATTCTGGCTGAGGTCACACATTCTTTCATCAACTTAACCATAAGGCCCCAAAACCAAAGTTTGGTAGCACAGACCACAAATAGTTCCAATTTAATGAGTCATATGCTTTTTCAAAGTCAAATCTAAGAATAATCCCCTTCTTTTTGTATTTCTTCCACCAATCTATCATGATTCCATCAAAGATATGTCTTCCACCTATAAAAGTAGATTGGACTTCACTAATAATATTTGGCATCATCAAACTTAGCCTTTTTTATAGTACTTCGGATAGGATTTGTAGGCAAGGTTCAATAGGCTTATTGGTCTATAGTCAAAGAGGCTTGAAGGACTGACCATCTTGGGGATGAGGGTAATGAAT